AAAAAATTATTTGTATAATAAAATTATATATTTATTTTTATAGTTGGCAGTGGAACATGATATGGGTTCAGTAGAATGTGCAAGAGAATTTTGTTCATATATGACAGAAGTATTATATATAAATGGTTATTTTGCTATTGTTTGAAAACATATGTGTTATACAATAATGTATACTGAATTAGTTTTATTGTGTTTTTCTAGAAGGACTAATCAGTAGTGAGATTGCATCTGTACTAGACGATTATATGGATGATCAATTTAACACAGAAGTACATGACGACAGCATTATACAAGTAGCAGAAGAATTGTTAAGGTTTCATCGATATTGCATGGAAGGCAATGAATCTACAGCAAAAACGGAATTTGAAAAATTACCACCATTGCAGTCATGGTTGTACTCGGAACAACCATCTCAATCTATTAGTTCTCAGGCAGTAAAACATCAATCCAACAGTTCAAATGAGGATATGGACATAGATAAGAATGAACAAGAGAATGATGAATGGACAGTAGTCACAAACAGGCGAAGCAAATAATTTCTAAATTCTTTTTATATGAAAGATATCTTTATTTAGCTATTTTTTGTGTGTATATAAAAGAATGGAAAGTCTCAAAAGGAGAGGCAGGCAGGCATATAACGTTACAACGTAATATGCATACATTCGTTCCACAATCATACGAATTTTAGCGCTATTATCAATTATCTACAAAAATATTTTCACCTAAGCAGCCTTTTGAAACATTGCTAAACGTCATTTAGCAAGTGCATCTTCTGTATCTGGAAAAGAAAAATAAAAAATAAATCTGTTTTTGTTTATATCAAAAAATTATGTTTCGTAACATTAAAATGTCAAAGGTACTACCTTTTCCATTTTGGGATAGATGGACGGTATAATAACCATTGTGATATTGCATAGCTTGACTTTTTTTCGGACTATCTTGTCTTCTTTCACCTGGTCCCGCCAAGCTTAATATCACCGGTAAAAATAACATTCCATGAAACAAACCAAATGTAACTACGGACGTGATTAACTAAAACGATATGAAATATGTGATATCCGTTTCTTTGATAACAATTATATTTTCAATGTTATATTCATACCTTGAAAAAAGTTATGAAAACATAAGCCTGGCTGAAACCTACCAGGACAAAGGCAAGGAATGTACTTAATCCACCATTAAACACCGCTGGTCCAATAACATTAAATGTCGTTAGTGCTCGTTCTACAAGTACAATAAGATAAGAAATTACAACAGTATAAAGCTATGCATTATTGAAAATCCATATAATATTTCAACAAGATCTTAATTATTATCAAGATGTGTTTTATATATATAATTTGCAATTTTGTTCGAACTGTATTATTTAATAATTTAAATAATAATCTGTTTAAATTCTAATCAATTGTATTAAAAAATCTTACAATAATTGCAAAGTTACTTTTTCTGCTGAATGCAACCATTGATAAATTTTATCGAATAAAAAATGTTCTTTTACACAATTAACAAAAAAAAATAAAAATAAAAAAAATGCAATTATATAATACAATATTATTTTCTAGCGACCTTGTTTATTGCCGTTTGAACGTATAAATTCCAGACCAATGTGTGCAGCATAATCAACTGCCAGTCCGGCGCACAATAGGATCATAATGGTTGATGATATTTCGATAGTCAATCCCAGAAAGTACATCGAGCCTAGAAGATCGATGAGCGTGAACAGTACGCAGCACATCACCCAAAACGACGCAAGTAGATTTCTAAGTAGAACCAATGTTACTATTCCTACCGCCATTATCTCTAAACTCAAATTCCTGATCAATTCTTCGCCGATGATCTGTAAAACCGATTAATCAATTACATAAATTAGTTTATGGATTAATACACTTGAAAACATTCTAAAGAAAAAGTTCTCACCGTATTCGACGCCCATGATATATAATCCAACGAATAAATTGCAATATAATCGTATCCCTGAGTAAAATTCACCGATTTCACGGCGTCCCTGACAGATTGCATAGCTCGTGTTTGATCGGATGACATAGTTAGGGGAATGTGTTGCACTGGAATCTGTGATGTCTAAAAGCATTCCTCGTGAGAAAACATTTTGCATTTATAGATTATAAAATGTAATGTTTTCTTTAACGTACTGTGATATTGTAGTCATTAAACGGCAACTTATTGAATTTCATATTTTGGATATACGCTTGGCCTTTCACCGTAAATAGGAGAAATTCCGTAAGTGTGTTATAATATTCGTCTCTATTCTCGATATAATGTCCTAGCGAATGAGATATATAATATCATATTAAGAAAACTCTATATTTAGAAAATGTATATGCTATGTGAGAAATATTACCTTTGCCAGTAGTGTCGAGCCATTCCTGATACGCCATAAACCACGGGTCCAAAGTACGATTATTGACATATGGATTTCGCTTAAGACTGTCCACCAACTGGGACAATGCATGACGATCTTCATAATAATCTACGCCTGTCAGATATATATTGACATTCTTGCCATACTTTGGAAAATATTTCGTTAATTTGTTATTAAATCGTATAGGATAAGATTCTTGATTTAAATAGACGAGTGGATCAAAGTTCTGATTCAAGTGAAATATCGCCCACACATTAACGCCTAGCAGGATAGCAGTGGCTAACAGGATAATAATCTTCATCGACGTTCTCATCACACAAGGCCCCACGTATTTCTCAAAAATATACCGCTGAAAGTTTTGCTTGGTACATTTGTTTGGTCGCCAATTGGGTCGCGGCTGGCAACAGCAGCCCTCCTTTTTTGCCGCCAATCGTCTTTCATCGTATACCAGACAGCTGACAAAGAACGTGATCTCATAGATGTAGAGGAATAATATACCCATTGCGGCAAATATACAAAAGGACTTCAGAAAGGGCATCACTGTTGTCATGCCGATGGCGAAGGCCACCATGTTGGTAAATGATGTCACGGTAATGGACATACCTA